CTTTATAACGTGTATTCATATAAACAGTGATAAAAGCGGAATGAAATATCAACTAGTAAACTGTTAATATCAAATAAGTGTTTAAAAAATTTTAATTTGCTCGTTAATAAATGCTCCACCATTTGCAATTGTACAAAGAGTGAAATAGACGTAACCACACGAGAGTCAAATGCATATAAATTAATATAATGTAGAGATAAATTTAATATTTAGAAAAAAAAGTTTTAAAAATTCGAGTATTATTTTATATTTACTTTAAAATAATGAGTGAAGTTAAGGATAAACAGTTTTTAATAAATCTGAATATTATTAATACAATTTTAATTATGATATTTCATCAAAGAATCTGTCTATCATTTTAATTATTTTACTTATCATATTATAAGAAAATCGTATAAAGTTATTTATATTTCGAAGTTATTTATATATAATGAATTATAACAAATTAAAATTAATACATTTTTAATTGAATACAAGATTAAAATAAATTAATATATATATATATATATATATATATATATATGATAAAAGATATAAAATAATATGAAATAAATGAATAATTAACAAAATATGTTTGCAATGTACTAGTAAAGCATACAATATTTATCATGTATGTTTAAATATCAAATAATTTTATCAGCGTAAAAGTAAAATTATTGCATTAATGAATGTTAATTATTGTATACATATTTGTAAGATGTACTATGAAAATACATTTGCATTTAAATAAATATATTATAAAATTAAGAAAATCGTTTTCAATTTATATTCAAATTTCTTCTTCTTCGACTTCATTTAACCAATATTGTTTTAATTATATAAATTTTAATCTTGTACTTTATCAACTTGTTCTAAAAACGTTATTTTATTCATTTATTTATGACGTAATGCTAAACTTTCAAGTAATACATTTTATATTTGAAAATAAGTACGTACCTTCCAGCTTCATAGTTTCTCCGTGATTTATTATTATTCTGAAATGCTGCTATAATATTGTTTATTAAATATGAAATTATGTTTTATAACGTATTTTATTGTAATATAATAAAAATTAACTTTAACTTTTTTTCTTACAGCACCCATCCTTGCACCATAATTTATCATCATTGTCGTTTATTTATTTTTATTTAGGTGCATGCTTTAATTACCATAATCATTTTAAAAATTCACACTAGAATACAGTAATGTCTTTCGATGCAACGAATGTACAATGTTTAATCTTAAAATTGCATATTCTACTACCCAAAGAAAAAACGTCGTACACATATAATTAGAATTACTTCGCCATTAACTTATAGTAACGCCAACGTCAATTAAAATAAACAAAAGTTACAGTAATATATATTTGAAATGCGAATAAATTTTAATCTTAAGTTTATTAAATAAATAAAAATGCATTAAGGAAAATATAATAAATTAATAGTGTAAATTAACTTTTTAAAAATGATCTTATTGATTAGCACAGAATTTATGTCATGAATAATTTTAATATAATAATGATAATTAATTTTACTTTATTCCACATTAAATATTGGCAATATTTTGATAAATCCAAAAAGAATCAAATAACTTTTTAATATTTTTTATTATTCTGCCAAGGATAAAAATGTTAAATTTGTCAAGATTAAACGTCGTTTATAATTTCAAATGAAATTTAATTGAAAATTTGTTACCTTAATTATTATTCTAAATACTTTATTATAAGTTATTATGGTGTTTAATATTTTTATAATTATTAATTTATTTCGGTGAGATTATCTTTTTTCAAAATCCATGGTACAAATAAATATAATTTTTTCATTTCTTAAGTAACAGTTTTCCAATTAAATATATTTAGTATTATTTTATTAGATGAATAATTAAGTTATTATTTGCATCCCATAATACGCTAATTATCTTAGAATGTAATAATACTAGATGCAAATTTGATTCGTATGTAGAAAAAATACACACACACGCGCGCGCGAGCATGTATAATGAAAATGAAGAAATATAAATTATAGTTATATGAATACAATAGAAGATGTCATCAAGATAAGTTTGTTAACAAAAAAACTTGAAACAAAGTTCATTCGCTTTAAATAATTTCTTTTACCTTATTTTGAGTAATTAAAACATTATACAATAAAAGAAAAATAAAACAATAAGATATTCATGCTTCAGCTGTACAAATGTATTAATGAATATCGTAGAAAAAAGAAAGAATATTGCAGATCATTTCATTCGATTGTTAAAAATAAAATTCTTTGCACGCTTTGACAAAAGTCTATACGCACTTACGGTATTTTGTACAGTATATTGCACATGGTCTCCTAGGACATTTGCCTATTGGTATTCATCTACAATAGATGCATAGCTTCCTCATAATTTTCATAAATTTTACAGTATTTCATGAATCATTTACCGTCACATTAATTCATAAATATGTGAAGTAAGTATACCATGTTGGTAATTAAATGATTTATGATACACTTTTCTGCATGTTTTTATACATATGTTTATAAGGGTATCTGATATAAATTAGACTACATATTTGATTTCCGCTATAACTTCGATTAAATAATAGTAAATCATAATGAAACATTTGTAAGAATTAGATAAAATTTATTTTAATAAAAACATATAGAGACGCAATGAAAGAAAAATTATTTAGATATAATGATGTTAAAGACACTTTTATTTTATATTCATATTGCAAAAAATAGAAGTATCCAAATATTTTATTTTTAAGAAAAATAATTAAAATGGAAGTGGAAATTTTGATTGTATAAATGCTATGTATTATAATATGATATTTTAAATTAATTATTTTATTTAGATTTTTAATTTGTTTGTTTATTGTATTATTGTTTTACTTACAAGGTTAATGAAAGAATTATTAAAAATGAATAGAAAATAAAAAATGTTTAATCTTAAAATAAGTATGTAAATGATAATTGTAGAATTACTAATACTATCGTATAATTAAATATCTATATAATTTAAGTAAACAAATTGTAAAAAAACTTATACAATTTTACTATACTATAACACTTGGGTTAGCTAAATACACAATGCCTTCAATTGTAAATTATAGCATATTACCTAATAATGAAATATCAGTTAAAGTTAAAGATGTGAAGTTAAAGATTAAATTATTATTTAACGATAAATTATATAATAGAATATGCTTCAACATGAAGAAGGATAATATAAGTATGCCTTAATAAAAGTGTCTCAGAAGTATTTCTATCACAATATTCTAAACAATTTTTCTTTTTCTTCAATAAGACAAATATATCATGAACAATTTGATTAAATGTGATTTACTTTCATGCACATCTTATAGTAATATTAATCGACGATATTTATTACGTCTTATAATAATAATATAGCCGCTTATATCTTTAACGATATATTTTCTTTGCCGATTTCATTGCACGGGCTAATCTAAATATATCTGTAAGGAGCTTAATAATAGTTCTTTGAAGTTCTCGATTATCTAGAAAAGCCCAATCGCTTATACATGTATTGTTTATCGATGACTGTCTCATTATAATCTTTACCATAAAAATGATCGTGTACATAAATATACGCGTTCACCCCTTTTCTTCCCGAGCAGAAGATCATAGATACTTATTATTACGTGTTTAGCATATAAAATTTTTTTATTTGTTTATTGAATTTATTAAGTTATATTTGTTGAAATTATGTAGAGTGCAAAAAGAATTTTATTAATAATTTAAGATTATTTGTTTTTTAATCGACATGAATATTATTGATTTCAAAATCTTTAATCTTTGATCATCGATAAGAGTTTATATTATAATTCATAATATAAGATTATACAAAATAAATTTGAAAATTGTTATATTTTTATTAAATACATTAGATTGCAACTGAAATTCTTTGAGTAAAGAAAAATATATTTAAGTCTAGAATGAGTTGTTATATGTAAATATAAATTAAAACTGTTGTAGTATATTGTAATATATTATTCTAGCATTATTCCTTTCCGTTTTTGAATTTTTGATTAAATTAAAATATATATATATATTCAATAAAAATTTTGATTTTTCATGCATAATTTTACATATATTTTTATTCATAAAATATAGTTTAAATACGTATTTAATTATATAATAACAACAAACAGTTAATAATTTTAATAGTTAATAAAATCTATTTGAAAGCTTTACATTTAAACATTTTTCATTAATTATACATCCACATAAAGCCTGTTAAAGACTAACTTTCTTCATTTTCTGAAGAATTTTTTAATATTCAAAAATATTCGAGCCGCAATATAAGAATTAGGTTCAACATAATAATTAAAACATATTGAAAATATCCTCATATATAAACGTGTATGCACAAATACGCGCGCACAAACACGCACACCTACATTCAAACATATATAAAAATAATTTAGGAAAGTTATTTTTAATAAATTTGTCGATAGCACTCTTGATATTAAAAAAAAAAAAAACAATTTTTCAATTGGAAAAATATAAAATTTAATCATATAAGTTTTTCATTTTTAACATAAATTAGACGCACATAAAATTTATTTAACGCGTTGTCACGTATCTTAATTTTAATTAATAATTTTAAATATATAAGTATAATTAATTTTCAACGTACTTTAAGTTGTTTTGCAATTGAAGAGATGTAAAATAATTAAACGTGAATTCAAACGTTTATGAATAGCGAAGAAATATAATATTCCATTGGAATTTATACGAATTTTTACTGTCAAATTGATTAGCATTATGTAAATAAATTAAAATATGACGAATAAGATAGGAAATTGGCGGTCTAACTTTATCCTGAGCCCTACTACTTAGTTCAATATCTAAAACTTGTTATTAATACTACTTGAATTATATTTAATTGTCATTATTACATTTTCTAATGGCCTTTCATAATATATAATAAAAAATATATAATAAAAAATATATATAATAAAAAATATATAATAAAAAAATTTATTTTATTTTATTTTGTGAAATAAATGGGACATCAGCGTGTTACAAATTACAGTTGCATTTAGATAAAACGAGCTTTTCGTTTTCAATACCTTGAATAGAACAGAGCTATCGCAAATCCTATCTCGGTACCATTCAATGCAATTTTCACTCCAAGGGCATTCGAATGGACCGTACGACTAATTTTGAATTCTGCTCGGGCCCTCCACACACATCCGCCTACACTAACATCGGCGCCTTCATTTATTGGCTTCGATGGAAGATAGTTGACTCTGGTTTCTCTGTCTCTCAATAAGGCATCGCGCCCGGAAAAGTCCGTAGGCCTGGAGCCACCCAGGCTGCTGGCCATTTCTAGGGTCAACCAGTCGATGAGCCGCGGCGATCGCCGCCAAACTTGCTGGCAGGCTCTTCCGGGCGTTGCGTGCGAGCTCGCGCTGTGCCTGCAGCCGATGGACCATAGCACCTGCGACGAGAGCTGACACTACTGCGGAGAGGGCGACAATGACGAAAAGGGCGCTGAAGCCGCTTACCGGTAAGCAGATCCCGTAGACGACTTCCTCCCGTATCCGACCCTGTAAGTTAACCCGCGGCTTTTAGTCTTAGCAAAGCCGATGTCTAATTCAATATCTAGCCTTAGTCATCAACGAACACAACAATTTACTTATCCAATCAACAATGCCTCAAACTTACCTACGTTCTTGTGCTTTATCAAGTATTTTTATGAGCAGTATTTTTAGCAACAATTTTACAATTGAAATTTATTGGGTCTAGCCTCTTATAACCATTCCAATATCCCCGTTTCCTTTACAAATCTTAAATAAATATTTACGATACTTCATTCTTTGATTATTAGCATTGCAAATAATGTAATTTATAAGTTTATTATGTAAGTTTTTGACTTGTTTAATGAAATTATTTATAGCGATTACTTTTTAGAATATTTAAATTTTTGGACTTAATAGATTTTTTTATCAAAATTGTATTTTACATATTGCAATGAAAATATAATTAGATCTATAAAACAATCAAAATAAAATATATTTTTATTCTGATAAAATTATAATTGGGAATAAAATAAAATTATAATTATGAATGAAAATTTTTTGTTTTGTATCCAAGTATTAAAAATATGAAATACTGTAGTAACGTTGAAAAAAATTATCATTGTATGTAAAATATTAAGCGTATTAAATTATTACTAACAATATAGATTTATTTGAATTTTATATTTGTTCATATAATTTAACCGCTTGCAAAATATAAATCTATTATTATATGTATTATATGTATTATTGTATTATATGTATTATATATATACCACCTATCTATTATATGTATTTCATAATTTTTATGTTATTGTCTAATTTTTTGGTAATTATATTATATTATAAGCATTTATTCCGATCATGTGAAATTACAATAAAGTTTTATATTTATGGAATAACATTATTCTTAATTATAAGTGTTAATATTTTTCTCCAACTCAATAGATGTATTTCAACATAATTAATTACATATAATTGGTATAATTGAAGAAATTTTTATTATATATTATATCTATAAAAATTCAAGACTAATGTATATTATTCCATTTGATTTGAAAGTGATTACAATTTTCTAAATAAGTTAACTTTTTTTAACTAATAAAATATTTGCAATCATTTTTAGTAAATGGAAAATAGGTAAAAATGTATATTAACAGTATGGAAATGATATTTTACCTGAAATACAGTGACTGCCTCGGCGTGATTGTCTGGACTAAAAGCCAGATCGGCCTCGGAAATGACCTCGTATATACCGGAGACACCGACGTCGGCGCTGCGAACCTTCCGATCGGACACCTGAAGGGAGCGTCTGCGCCGATTCGCTGTGCCGTTTAAAGGCTCGAGTCGTGATTTTGTCAGATTTCTGCTAGGCTCGCTCATACTCATCGGTACGGAATCATTCGCTCTCGGCTCCCTAAATTTCACCTCCGGCCGTTCGTCCTCATCCTGCTCGAGCTTACGTGGTCCGTGTGGAAAGTGCTCTTGGGGCTGATAGCGCGTCACTCGTGCTGGCTGCACTGACTAATGTATATCTTTTAATACTTAATTATCATGCGCTTCGGTCACTATATTAATTTCATTTGCGGTTTTTTAATCATATTTTCATTTTCTATTCCACATCTTTTTGTTTTGCTTATTAATAATTTTTTATAATATTACCTTTCGGACAAAACTTTTTCTTTTTTTTTCTGATCTGTAAAGGGTGCTCATACTTTATAATAACTTTGCATGCATTAGTGATTGACAAAATTAATGGTGTAGTTAAACTGTCAAAGTATTAGCTCAATCGATGAATAATGAACTTCATCATTTATCTGTATCTACATTTTTTCGATATTCTATCACGTAGTTTTAAGCGTCATATATTTAGTTAAAAAAAAATGTTCTTATATTTGATATTATCAATTCTTATATATTATATATAAGGAACTACATATAATATCTCTCAAGGAACTACATATAATATCGTTTTGCAATTAAATTGTATGGTATATTTATGTAACGGAAAAATTCGTTATTATTTGAGCATTCACTCATCCGATAAAAACAAGCATAAGAATTAGCATAGATTATAAATAGTTATTGATGTTTTGGGATTAAATTCGATTTCTTACAATAATTGAGTGAATAAATTCACAACTACTTTCACATGCTTTGTCTTAAAATCAATTTTAAGCTAATTTTTATATAGGAATATTTATTGAAAAATTTTCTTATGTTAATTAATTTGATTAATTTACGTTAGATTATTAGTACAAAAATCTTAAGAATATACATCATTCAATCGATATGTATTGGCGTTAAATATACTTTAAATTTACTTAAAAAATTATAATGTACTTTAAAATTTACAAAAGCTCATTTTATATGTATTTTTTAATGTAATTTGACATATAATTATTGGATAATACAATTTACGGTTGACTGATTGAAATTTGAATGATTATTCTTATGAATGAAAATCAATATTACAAACAATAATAGGGACATGTTATTAAATATTCATTAAAAATTCGTAGAAAATAGAGTATTTCGGTAAAATAAGTAAAGATAAATCATGTCGATATAAATGGAATTTACGCTAATTAAAAAAGGAGATGAATTGAAGGCTAAGAAATTGTACCAGGTAAGGTTTGGAGAGCAGTGGATCCGCAGTGGAATGAACGAGAGACTCAGGTGTTGTGGATCCAGTCTGATGATTACTTGTTTGGGCTTGGGCTTTGGGTGCGGCTGATTTTTCAACATCCAGAAAGTGTCCGCCTATTGAGGCCATCTCATCGCCGTTGTGTACAACGTCGTCATAAATCGGTGGCCCATCCACAGAGCTGATGCCCAAAGGCCTGGGTGCCTGACTCACACTACTCGCCGGCATTTCCGGTTCGATGTACAAATGTTGCTGTTGCTGATGCTGTTGGTGGGCATTCACATCGTTTCGTTCCTGAATATAGTGACCCAGGCCCAGAGACTCGGCGCCACTGACACCATTGGATTGGCAGTGGTCGAGACATCCGTGCCGGCAGATCTCGACCTTGAACGTTTTTTCATCGACAAATGAAGCTGTGCGTCCCGTTATTCCGAAAATATTTAGTCTCACAGTTCGCAAACGAGACTGATTCGTCGCTTCAGAAAAGAATTTTATCTTTTATTTTAAATAGAATTTCTTACCCAACATTGCACTCGAAACATAAAAATTGCCTTCTGTAATTGCAAATGTCAAACGCTCCGTTTGGTTTAGTAATGTTAAACGATATTAAATTAACATTAATAATACACAAGTACAGAATAAATTGGCCCTAAGTTCTAGTTTAGTTTGCAATATAGTTGGACCATATTCCAACATATATAAATAAGTTAGATATTTAGGATATATGAATAATCTGTTATATTATGTCTTATACAAAGATTTCATAGTTTATTGAATAAAAGATAAAAATTTTGTTATTATTATATACCTAATTTTTTCACAGAGTTATTATAATTATAAGAATTTATAATTATGTTATTTTTTCTTATATTGGTTTTTACGATTATGAAAAACAGATCGCTAAATTTTAAAAAATTTTTCTGCCATTTAGAATATTGTTAAATATAAATAATAATAATAATAATAATAATAATAATAATAATAATAATAATGATAATTCTTAAACTATTATATATAAAGGAGTTTAATAATCCTTTTTAATTGCGTATGGTATCAATTTATTTTGTAACTGAATAAATATTTTTTTAAATCATTAAAATAAATATTATCATGATAAAAAATTGAAAATATTAATAGTGATATATACATATTATATTATCCATAGTTTATTCACTATAAAGATTTTGCATCTTTTTAATTAGCTTAGGAATTTGAAAAGAGTTTCTATAAAAATTTCTTTTATTTAATATGATAAATATTTATAATGTAGACAAAATGATTTAACATACGATAATCACACGTATATGATTGGAATATAAAATTCATATGAATTCACATTAATCATAGTAATATAAACTATCTCAAATAAGAAATATTTAACTATCAAATAAATAAGAATTTAGAAAATATTCATTTTGACATTCTAGCTATCCTAGAATGAAATTAATATGTGTATATGGACATTATATAGCAGATTAAATATTTAAATGCACTTAAATGAATTTGTTTCCATAATATTTTCGTTAGAATTAGCAATTGTTTCATATAAAATTCATTTACTCATATCAATCAGTGCTATTTTTTACTTAATGTATACATATATTTAATTAAAATAGACTAGAAATACATTAATTTAAATTCAAATAGAATTTTATGATATTATTGTATAAATTGTTGTTGGTAATTATACGATACGTCTTATTTGTATTAAAATTAATAATTTATTTTTATAAAGTAGCATTGGAATTTAGAATTAGCATTCTCACATACATTAATCATTGTTAAATAATTTACTAATATGTACAAGTCCTGTTATGCTAAAGTATTGGATGCAGGTAATGTTTTTGTAAATTGTTATTTTAAATTATTCAATGTCGTAGTTAGCTTACTTTACATTTGATGTGCACACTGAGAGCGTCGGGGAACTTAAAGGCGTGGAAGAAGGCATAAGTTATGACAGTGGCGCGGTCGTCGGAGCCTCTGGCCTTCAAAAATCGACTAATCATCTTTGGTCGGAGCACGCAACCAAACTCATCACTAAGCTGAATCGTATGTCCACCCCCGTCCGAAGCGACGCATGATTTAACGCGCATGTCAAATTCACCTGAGTAGCACATACAATGTAAGAAAAGTTATACAGTATAGAGCCTTTTAGATACGCTAAAAATGTTGAAATTTATCATTAACAGTCAATGTACCTCGATAATCGTTAATGGCAACGACGAGAGTTAAAGTAGAGCCAAGAGGTACAATACCAGAAACTGGCGGTGCCCACGGACCCTTTCCATGTTGTATTTCCATCCAACAGTCGACATTATCTCCTGAAATACATGTCAATACGTTAATCGTCGCAACCCTAATAAGAAATTATTAAAATAGAATAAAATTCTATTCGTGTAACAATGCGGAATTTTGGATTTAATGCGCTTGATATATTCCGTATTTTAAGTTAATTGGAATTTATTTTATTTGATATGAAGTTATTATCATATATAAAATATTTATGGTGAATGTATAGAAAATAATTTTTTACTTAAATTATTCACAAAGATTTTTTTTCGGTATTTTTTGTAGTCAATATATATTGATTCTGACTATTTATACATATTTATATATATTGTTGTAATATAATTAATGACATACACGAAAAGTTTATAATATATATAGTAGTGACGATGAAATGGATTAAATTCATTAAAATTTTTGTTTTTATATAAAATTTACTGTAATTAATTTCTTATAATTATTCCTTATATGATTCAATTAACTCGTTAAATAATAAAATACTTTGTACTAGTTTATTAATATCATGTTTAACGATTATTTTCATTTGGACTCAATAATATACATTTAAAATTAATTTAACATTCATACCTCGGAAGTCAAGCTGTATAACGTCGAGGTCAGCAATCACCATAGGAGGTTTAGATGCGGTTTTCTCATAATCATTAAACCACTCACAGCGCAATCTTTTCGCTTCGTCCCATACTTCCAACAGATCTTTATCGTACTGTACAACAACAGTATTTTCATAAAATTGTCCATGCATGTCTGGCTTAGTGCCACACCTATATTGAAAATAAATTTCCAATTACTAACCGATGGAAATCCATCCGAGAAAGTATTTTTTGTACACGAATTTATTTAAACTAATAGAAAACCAGACTATAACTGATAAAATCTCTTTGCCAAATATAATTATCAAATATAATATGAAATTTAATTGAAATTATAACTTATAAAATATTAAAAAGGCTTTGGTATTCAAAATTTTATGTGACATACCTATTTATGAATTATTTTCTTAAGTTTCGTTAGATATGTTTTTTTTTCAAATTTTAATCAAACTAGTCCAATTCTTGTTTGATCCAACCAAATTTCTATTTCCTATAATAGGCTACTTTACATGATGATAATATATAAAAATAATTGGATCTGATGTTTCAATGAGAAGTTATAAAAATTATTTTTAAACATACTTTTTTATGCTAGTCAAATTATTTGTACAATATGAATTCAATGTTTTTATGTTAAATAATGACGTACCGAGCATAGGCTATTCTAAAGGAAAAGAATGTCTGTCCAGTTGAGGGTGGAACATAGACGCATCGAGGATCTGAGTGTTGACCTTTGGATGAGACAATACCCTCGAATGGTTGTGAAAAGGATAGATGCACGTCCATGTGATCCTTGCCACACATTACCTCCAGTGACTGTATAGCCGGCATCCCGTCTGGCCTTTCTAGTGGCCAAATCTCGCTACTACTCCGGCTGATTTTTAAGCCAACCATCTGAAATATTTTGTTTTTAAATAAATCATGGAAGGTAGAATTTATAAGTTTGTGAGTATTAACAAATAACTTTTCTTTTATTAATTAAACTCTTTGAAATTATTGAAGTCGAGGTTTCTCATTGGATCAGCCAAACTTATATCTTATATATATATATATATATATGCATTGATTTTTTATTATAAAATAAAAATAAAACCAAAAATGTGAAATGTTTTATATTATAAATATTATTTAATAATAAAACAAGGTAATGTTTTTAAAAAAATTCATTCAATTAGTTATTTTTATTTATAGTTAGAGAAAGAGATTTCTATTTAATAATAAAGACATTTCTATTCATTATCGCTAAGAGATTAAATAGGTAGAAATTTGTATGTGAATATAATGAAAAATTTACTAAAAACTTTTAGGATTGAGAGTAATTAGAATAAAGATATTTGAACTTGTAGCTTTAAACCTGTATTATAAAATAAACAGTATGCATAATTATCACCAACTATATATAAAAACCATTATCTAAATTTATATTAGAATCTATTCTTTTGCGTGTAAAAAAAGTATTTGTTTTTAAAAATAAATAATGAGTAATTCAAAGTAAATAAGTAATGATTTTAATTTGTTATTATTGATGGATATTTTAAGTTCTAAAAAATATTTAAATTCTTTGAAGCTTTTCTGCTGAGTTAAAAATAATCTACTTCAACTTGGTTTTTGACCAAAAAAAAAATAGCTATGATAATAATATTTTTAATATCATTTCAAGGAGTTTGCAATTTATTATAAAACATTATTAATTACATATTCGGATAAATTTTACTAGATTTTACTATTATTCAATGCTATGTAAAAATTATTATAAATTTTTTCACAAGATATTTAAAATACCATTAAAGTTTCTTCAAATTTTATTAAACATTTAATTTCAATTATTTAAGTTTTATATATGTTTTATTTAAGGGATATTAAAGATTGTTTGATTATTACAAAATACATTTTAAATTATATCTAATGCGCTATATTAATAAAAATTATATTTTACAATTGTTAATAAAATTTTAATCTCTGTGGGATGTTAAATGATGTAAATCAATTGTAACTAAAGTATTCAACTTCACTTTATACTATTTTTAAATAAATTATTACGGTGAAATTTTTAAAATTTTCTTTTTTTTTCTATTAAAATAACATAGAAATAAATACTAAAATAACATAAATAAATGGATAAACTAGAAAAATGCTTTGAATAGCTGTTTATTCAAGGTACTTGTTAATGTCTTACCATATATAAATTCTTCTACTTATTTAGTCTTCACATACTTTTTAAGTTATCATTTATTTATTATATCAAGTTGTGGATAAATGATATATTGTAGTTAACTAAATGTACTTATTTTATTTATGTAATTCTACATTATATATATATATATATATATATATATATATATGTGTGTGTGTGTGTGTGCGTGTGTATTTTATCATGTATTTCTTTAAATATTATGTAATCAATATACATTTCACACGATAATTGGTATAGTTAATTTACATATCTGATAATACTAACAATGCTTATTTAATAAAAAAGTTTGGTTAAAATTCTATTAAAACAAAAACATTAATAGTGCAATCAAAATAGTTTAGCCCATTGTTAAAATAATGATTGTACTTTCTCTCTTTTTTTTAATGTTATAGGAAATCAAATATTATGCATTCACGTTCTTAATACTGTGCGTATACTGCTTTCAAGATCATTCTAATTAATAAATATTTACAGTTTTGCTATTAATTAAATAACATTTTTTCGTAAAATTGTAATATTATTTTTAAGTTTCATTATTAATTTTTTCACATATTTTACAAAAACAGGGAATTTGTATTGTGGAGGTGCTTGTTGCATCTTAGATTTTTGTTTTTACTCCCAGACAACGCCGGAAGCTCCGGACTTTGTTCGATAGAGTGTCGAGACGTTTCTCTGTCGAGATATCCGTAACACGCAGACCGGTAAGTAACCGGTGGTAACGGGAGAGGCGTCTTTACCGCTGCATCAACGGTCGCTGTTTTTCATGATCGCATGAGGTGAAAACTAGTTTTCTAGACCTTTCCCCGTTTTCCCCTATCTGTCTCTCAGACAAAAGTTGGTAGCAAAATTGTGATTACTTGTGCAAATACTAGCAATTATTTTCTTTAGTATTAATTATGTATAGTAGTCTGTTTTTGCTTATTTATATTTTCAGCATTTCATTAGTACTAGCATTAATAGAAGCATTCATACAGAGAAGAATTCAGTTTCATGTTAAGGGTTGAATTACAATTGAATTACAATAGGAATAGGAAGGAACAATTTTTTCTCTTTCATAGTATAAGATTTTTGACCAATAAAAACTTTAAACAAGTAAAAATCTTCTAGAAAGATATATAATATTATTATTAAGTTTCATAACATTTGATAAATATTCATTGTACTGGTAACATCATACATTCGGTAAAATATAAACTAAGCTTGTTAACTTCTTTGGATAAAATATGTATAAAAATATAAATGTAAATGAATTATATCTATTATATATATTACAGTTATTAATTTTTTTCGAAACAGAATAACTGTTGTTAAATTCAATATAGTGAAATTTGAATGTTTTGGATGAAAAAACAGGATTTTTCTTATTTTATACATACATACATATAAAATTCACATTTGAGCCTTGCTATACGAAAAGAATTTGGTTGTATCTTAATATTATTTTTATAATTGAACAAGCCAATTTTAACACAAATACTATAAAAAAAGTAATTAATTTTTACTGACATCATACTAAAATACAATAGGCTAAATATAATTAATAAAAGAAAAATATTATGTAAATTAAATATTTTACATAAAATAATTGACTAGAACTCTCACTGTAAATTTAATAATAATAGCATTGTAATTCATAAATAATTAATATTGCAATAACACTGTTTGAACTGAATAGAAGATTATTAAAGATAAAATAATATATTAAAGAAACTTGAATATATTTAATTATTTATTTAATCTTAAGAGTTCATTATAAAAATTGTTCTTTCATCTTCTAATTTAAATTTAATTTAATTTACAGCTTTAATTTAGTGTCACCTCTTTTTCTACTTTTAATTGAATTTATTCTAAACTGTTTATTAAAAAAAATATGATCGAGTTCATTAAATTCTTATGTTGAAAAACGTACATTAATTATGTTATACAATTTTTATTTTATAATATAATTTATTAAGTATATTAAGTGTATGCCGTTTGTTATATTATGAATTTATTATAAGAGTACTCTAAATAATAGAGTTATAAAATCCATCTAATGAGAAATTACAGCTTTATAATTTGAATATACATAGTTTTAATTAACTTATTAATTTAATGTTACAAATTTGGATTTCTATATAAAATAATTTTATATACCAGTTTCTTTTATCGAAAGCTGTCACTTATCAAACAAAATTTTAAATTATCATGTAAAATAATATTATAAATACATTAACGAAACATGATAGCATACCTATATAAGATTAACATTAAATATATAATACATTAATTTTATAATTGTTAATTATTATATCTGCCATAATATTAATTAGTTTTTTTTTTCAATTAAATGGAGTATTCAATATAACTCATGAAATGTATATTTTTTCAATTTCATTATTTGAATTTGTTATTTTTAATTTATCGATATAATTATTATTAAACAATATTTCGAATAAATATTGCATCAATAGTAAAAAATACAAAAGTTTTGCTTTTAATTGGTTAATAGGTTTGACATGGCCATAACTCTGAATCATTTAGAAAATATAAGGTTTGCCATTACATTTAAATTACAGCAAAAAATAATTTAAAAGAAAATAAAAATTGCAAGCAAAAATATATTATTGAAAAATTATAAATACTATAGTATATATAAATAAATCATTTAATAGTTGATTCGTTAAAAAACATATTTCAGATAAAATTATAAACTTATTAATTTTTAATAGCAGTTTTTAAAAACATTTTATTATCGATATTATTATAGTATCAAAATTATATTGTAATAAATGATTTAAGATTTATTTTTCTGCATATTAATTTAATTATAGATTATATGCAATTTTAAAGATTAAAAAAATTATAATAATGAAAACGACATTTAAATATATCACCATTTTATGATTTTATTAAAAACTATACTATCATAAATATATAATTTTGAAGCTGCAAATTGTTAATATTGTTATTGACTTTATATCATTTATTATGCCATAATTATATTGTTGAAAAATATTTACAATTATTTATAAATATTATCTTCTCTCCATATGATTAGCAGATTTTCACTAAAGTATATATACTTTTACAGAATGAAAGTAATTTAAGTTTCTTTTAATGGATATTTTACGTACTTATTTTCAGATTTTTACATAAATTTGAATAATAAATTGTAGCGTCGAGAATACATATTATTTATTTTATCATAAGTATCCATAATACAAACAGTAAATATAATTGAAACCATTGAATATTCTAAATTTGCAAAGGTAAAGAAAGTGTAGATTATATAATAGGACCCAATAATAATGATGAAGAAAAAATAATGTTCAAATAAACTGGTGCGAATGCTTCTTGCTGTTAAAAGAAGAGCGAGCAGAAGTGGCCAATTATCTCACCAATTTAGCAGCGTGATTCGTTAAATCTGGATTTGACAAACCAAGTTGCCTCTGTTATACAATATCTTTGTGAATTCAATGTAAATATAACTACGTTGAATAGAGATTGTGAATAAAATATATAATGAAATAGCATGTATAATGAAAGGAATAAAATGTATTATACTGTGTATAACATGTATAATGAATATAATATAATGTGAACATCCATGCCTATTATTGGCTAATCAGCATAATAATTATTAGCCCGAAGCGAATTTAAATTTTGAATAAAAGAATGAAAAACTAATTTCTAACCAGAAATGAGAAATTTAGATAAGAATTTCAACATTTCGAAAATTATTAGCAATGAAAAAGAATAATGACATTTTTATTTATTAGCAATTAATTTCAAAATTAAAATGGTACAATTATAAACTATTGACTTCTTATTAATTTTTACTATTTGCATTATTTTACAATAAAATTTACAATAAAACGATTATTTGTTTATTTTATTACTTGACTAACTTATTTGTAGATTATATATATTTCACAAAAAATAGACATTATTATTTAAGCTGTAGTTATAAAAGGTTTTTCATTTACGTTATGAAAAGCACGTTATTGAATGAATTAAAGCAGATAAAGTAAATTCACATTAAAGTTAATTAATATTAAAATAATATACATAAATTATACATCATTTTTAATATATCATTTATTATACTTATATTATTTCCTATATAATAGCGTTAAGAATATCATGTAATAGAATGATAATGAATTTATTTAAAATAATATAAGGTTGTACAGGTACCATGTTTACTATTAATTTATATTAAAACTGGTTTTCTATCCATTAAAAATATTTTAGAGTATTTTAACATACTCTATAAGCATAAATATCTTCAAGATTATAATAATTGTTTAATAAAATTGTTTACTATTTATTATTCTGATATAAATAATTGTTATAAATAGGTTAATTTTAATTATTATTTAATAGAATTCATTGTATACAAGAAAAAGTCCTTCAATAATTTTTTCAGATATTTCCAAATTTACATGTAAAATAAAAATAATAATCCAATGTAACCTTATCTATATAGAAATTTTCTTTAAATTTATACTTTTTTCCGATTTTAAAATGTTTAATTCAAATTTTAAAGTTTCTTTTACTTCTTCGTATTTAAATTACAAAATATATACCATTAAATATTGAATATTTAGGAATTGAATGTATTTCTTAGAACTACGCTTATTTCCAATATATAAAAATCCTTAAAATGCACACATAATATTTATATAGGTTAGTATTTGCAAGTGTAAATCGCAATCGCACGTACAGCTACGGAAGCTCGAAACAGTTTTATAGCGTAAAGAAGATAGTATCGGTATAGTTAACCGTATGCGATGGCGTGATGGATGCGGAAGCCAATAAGTCGACAAATGTCCGGACGCAGCTCGACTGAGGGGTGCTTAATTCTCATTATCGGCAACGCCACCACATTGAATTAACGGGACGAGTATACATAGAACAAGTGACAGTGGCGGGAAAAGAGACATGACGCGGAGGTCAGTCGCTTGCAAGCTGTTTTTCATTGTCAGTGAGAAGCTCCTTGATATTCAACTTTGAAAGCCGCGTTATCATCGTTATATTGACAATAAAAGTGAAAACTGTTATAACTCATTGCATTTTATTTTAAAAATATTATATATTTATGATTATAAGCCTTAGATGTTTCATTTACAATAGATTTTCACTTATTTCTTACCCATTATTACTTTATAATGTAACAAATCATATACTGGCTATTTTATACTCTCTATAAATCAAACGATGAAATAATATTTAGAATATTGTACTAACTAACAATAATGCTCATGTCTCTTAGAAAATAAAATTATAAAAAATATTTATTTAATAATTTTACCATTTTTATTTATTAAGCTATTTTAATTTGTTAAACTATTTTTAATTATTTATTAATTTCAGAAGAAAACAAAATTTTTATTAATATATAAATAATGAATATTAAGAAAAATAATAAATAATTATCCATCTGAAATATGCTTAAATATGAAAAATTAACTGTTACTGTAAGAATATATTTCAATTATAATTATAAGATATATTTACGTCTATTATAGCAATTTCTTATAGCATATACGAAAGATCTTTCAGATTATATAGATATTTTAAGGAAAATTTAAATTATATAAAGATAACGATAAAACGCAATAAATGAATTAAATGAATGAATGGTTTGAGAATAAGACATTAAAAGAGAATTCCCCGAAAGATTTGATAATTTTATTAACAAATTATTTGAAATTAGTTAATATTTCATTTATATATGGTTATTTATTTTATTTTGAAAAACATTATAATTTTAGATACACTTCAACCATAAAAATATAGTACATGTGCATGTACTACTAGCTTTTAAGAGAGTTTTCACTTTAATTTTGTCTTCTGTAAGAATAAATACATTGAAAAATAACATAATGTCTATTGCTCTTTGAGGTTTTGTCGAGTTTTTATGATAATTATGATACACGGGGACTATGAATTGTAATATAGGTGGTATTTCTAGACTTTCATGATGTCCATGTCATGTGACTATGTAGTTGGTTGTGTGCACGACTTGTGGCTGAATAAGCAATGTAAGATTTCAGCCAAGCCTAAGTATAAGGTTCCAATAGATATTTATGTACAATTATACTTCCGTGCAAAGTGAATATAGATTTAATTTTATGAGCTGTTTCCTTTGCAAGTATTAATAGAAAACGTACAGAATTGCATCTTAATTTCATTTATGATGAATAGAGAGAATCAAGTCCCACGTTATTACACTAAATATAAACCTGAATATATGAACTTTTTAAATTAAATAATTTTGTTTTCAATTCAAATTTAACCTACGAAAATAGTATACGAAATAATAGTTATAATATTAAAAATATAAATTATCATTGATATATTATGAAAATTTGTTTCTATTGTCTTTTGAAATACGAGTGTATATATGGATAATGCGTGAGTGTACGTATGTGTATGTCTTTATACGCATAAGCCATTACACGCGCCCTGATATGCACACCCATCTACTTACATGCATATTTATGCATTCATGAATGCAAATGCAAATATATACGTATTTTTCTGTGTAAGTGTGCGCGCGCGCGCGCGCGCTGGCAAGCACGCGTATTACGTAGAAAAAATTTTAAATTAACATTAAATACTTAGACAGTGTAGGTTTTTTCTAAGACTAATTCTATATTCATATCCTCTTCGTATTTTATTTATTTTAATTCATTTAATTATGTAACGTTTTATAATATATTTACAATACATAAAATTGATAAATGATTAATATATTCTCTTATAACTATATAAGACTTTTATAAACAATATAAGAAATATTCAGGGCGATCTTATATTCAACAATATAAGATTCTAGACGAAATACTCTTTCCTTATTTATTACAATTCAATAAAAAAATTTACATAATTGGTATTTATTATTTTAATAAATAATTTTAATTAATTACCATTGAAATGTCAAATGAATTTTTTAATTCATAAATATCAATTCTATATAGAGCATAAATTTTTTCAAATTAGAAAAGATTTAAAATTTTTGTTATTTTTGGGTTGACTACTTACCACATAGATCAGCGTATGTAGCAGTCTCCACACTCCTGGCATCCTGGATTTTCCAGCTTCTCACGCTAAATCACGCTTTCCTGAAACGAGAAATGAGGCTTAATGGCTGAGTCAATAGTATGATTATACGGTTTCATTTCTCAAAATCTTTAACATTTCTTTTAATTTCATTGGTATTTACGTGCCATTTCATTCGAATTACTTTCAGTTGATTTTATATTTATTTACATTGTATTAGATCCACTTTATTTGATGCGTGTGATTATAATTATTATTTTAATGAAGTATGAAATTGATATCTTTTTAACTGAAATAATGTATTTGTAGAAAATGCGTTCTAGATAATTGGATTTAATGATACGGCGATATATGGAATGATATGTATATATATATATATATATATATATATATATTCATATTAAAATTTAATAATGTAACAGGAAGCTTAAACAATTACTTTCGCTTTTTTTTTTAAATTATATTTTCAATTTTATTAGATGGATTCACACTGTAAACGTACAGTAGAAACAGGATCACAATCTTTACAAATTATAAGCTCAGGAACTGGATATATAATTATCTCAATTAGCGAATATATATTTAATAACTTATTTATTTGAATCATTAATGATCTTGTCACTTCACAGCAATTTGACTAAATTTACTGAAAATACAAGTTAAATAACTTCTTTCTATCTCACTTCTTCGCTTAAGAATATTAAGAATTTACTCGCTTTAGTTTTGCTGTCGAAATGAGTGTCGAGAAAATTATGTAATTATAGAGTAGCTGATGAAGATAATGATAATTTCTGATAAGTCGTTCCGCTGTCATTTAAGTGTAAGCTTATACGATATAACGATATAGATCATTAATTATAATCTAAGCCTCATTTTCATGTATATACATATCAAGTACATCAAGGTGATTTTTTCCTAATTAGCCGTAATGCTAATATAAATCCATTATGCCAATGTAAATAATTTCAGCTGCTCCATTTGCTTATATAAAGAAAATTACTGTACTGGTTTAGTTCAGAAATTACTTCAAGAGAAAATTATAAAAATAAATACTAATAAAATTATCATTTTGTAGAATGAGAAAGTTATTGATTAATATGTGATATTTTAAATAAGCTGATCATATTTATTTATTAATACGCTAGATTAACATTACGAATACTAAACAAATAATGTACGAGCCCTTTATTATTACCAAATTAGCTAGTAATAACATAGTTCATCGGTTAAAATCGTATTGTAATTTGGATATTGTAATTAAATCTTATCATTTTGTCAATTAGATATTTTTACTATTTTTTTATTTATGCATTATTAAATATAAATATTTTTCCTATTAATTTATAATTATATTTTTTACATACAATGTTAATAAAGATAATAATGTTTTTTCGAATGATTGATAAAGTTGATTAAATAATATTAAAAAAAGATTCCAACCTTAATTATGATTAGCATTGATTTATAAATGTATATTCATGATATTTTCTAATTATTTGAATTCATTGAGATTTTATACTTTTTTTTATAGCCAATTACATGGAAAATCCATATCTTGCCAAATTATTTCATGATTCTTTAATTTAAGTAAATGGTTATTCTATAATATGTAATCTTATAAATAATAAATTACGATGATATTATCGAAAGAGAATTCAATTTTGAAAAGTATTAATATTAGATTAACTCGTTTTTGTATTTTATATTTCACACTTGATGACATATCAATAAATTTTTACTTCCTTTACTTTTACATTGTATATTTGATGAAGATTTTTATTTATCTAAATAAATTTAGGTACCTTCTGTATATTTTTCTAAGATATGTGTTGTACAAAGTATATTATAGTCTCTATTTATAAAGCCAATAGAGGTATCAGTGAAGATAAAAAAAAAAAGTAAATATCCGGCTTTTGAACATACATGAACTTAAAATTCCATGTCAAAGATTTAGGGTGTGTAAAGAAATTTAAACTGTTGGATAATGCCTTAGTAGATACGACAGACAAGTAGCAAGACAGACAGCAGTAGAAACTTCAATAAATATGGTAACCAGTTTCGATAACACATACATGCTCGAACCATCAAAAACCAACACTTAGGAATGCAACGAGAAAAAGCGCTTAGTAATATTACTAATACTAATATTATACGAAATTATGTGCGTATAGGTAAATGAAAACGATAAATCTGTATTCTGCTTATTGGATATAATCCAATGAATGGGAAGTCTAAAACGAATGGACCTAGCTAATAGTTGAAGAGAAGGAAAAGCGGGCACATAATTGGTTGAAAATCGTATGAAGGCATGGTAGTTAGGCGAGACAGCAATCGATGAATGGTGGTGGTCTCATTTTGCGAACAGAAGACGAGAAATGATGCGCGCACTCCGATAAATTATAAATTGGCATGATAGTTTTCCATTATTAGCTGAAAAATTCAGGTCCAGCGCTCGAAGATAATGGTTAAAAAAGGAAATATACCGTCATCCCTACTTAACGCACTTGTGCTCCCTCTCCCTACTTAACGCATTTCTGCTCTCTCTCTCTCTCTCTCTCTCTCTTCCTCCTATAGGTACGCGCGCACGCACACAAAGATAGAGGCGCGCGAGCGTGTGTGCTTATTGTCTCTATGTCTCTCGCTTTCTCAGCGCATGAATTCTCAATTTGTTAAAGCACAGTTATATTCTGAACTCGTGAGCACGGTAATGTATGAAGTGACTCGTCGAGACTTTGTACCGCTGTTCTACTCACCTAAATGCTTCATTATACAGGCGTGTGTGTACAGAGGCTTTATATTGGTAACGCCGATGGGCACTCGTGGGGCCATTTTTCCCACTTCCTTCTCAACCACCGATATACAAACGACAATCGCCCATGGAATGCATCTGATTTTCGATAAATCCGGTTTACCTATGTCCCGCCATCGAATGACCCCATAATCGTACAGCTCTATCCGCGCGCAAATCCATGGTCTGTCGAGTAAATTAACCAAGTCGCGATTGCCGAGGTTGCGCTTCGAGTGCCAACAAGGTCTCCGGAGCACGGAAATCGCACACCTAATGCATATCCTGCGTAAGCGATGTAGAAGAGACCGGCGAGACAATTTCGAGGTGCATGAGATTTCCACGCGCGTCCTTGGCTGCTACGCCGGAAATTGGATTATCACCATCTTGGATGCATCGCGCTGTCTTTGGGCAAACAGTGTAGCCGGGAGGATGAAATTAAATTGAAATTCATGAGTAATTTGGACTGGCGTTGTCGAGTTTGGACTTCCTCCTTTTATGCGCTTTTCTATGTCTATAGATTATGCAAATGTCTGTGATGAATTCCCTCTATTTAACTGTACGATTCGCGAGACTAATTCAGCGTTTCTTTCTTGTATTTTTATCTTATGTCCACATATTATAAAAACCTTTTTTTACAGTTTCAAATAAAAACGACAAAATTCCATAATTTAATATCATATTATTCAATGTGATTTTATGTGTATTAATTATGTCAATAATACGTTAAAAATAATATTTCATTAATCCTTAGTATTCTAATAAGGCGTATGAAAATATTATAAAAAAATATAATTTACTTGAGGTTCATTAAGTTACGTATTTATATCAAATTAGTTTATCATAAACTTATGGAAATTTCAAATTTTAGTATATAATTTTAATATCTAATATTGTAGAAATTTTATAATTATAAAATCTTTTAAATAATTAGCATCATAATGAAAAAATAATAACATATTATTTATGAAAATTTTTTATAATTAATAAGTTGAGAAATAATTATACAGTATTTGGCATATAATGAGTATAATTTTTATCGTCTATAATGAATTATTACTACCATTAGACATATGATAAATCGAAAAATTGATATATAATTTGAGCATTTTTAATAAAATAACATTTTTTTCTTTAATTTGAAAACATTTCTTATTTATCATTAAAATATTATCAATATTTAGAACAATTATTGTATATTCATACGTTATAAATTAATATAATAAAAGAAGGCTCATTGTATAAATTGAAATATAAGTTTTTGAAAGTTGTCGATACTATTATTATCTCGTTAAATTTGCCATAATTATTTTTATTACTGTGTCTGCTTTTATAAACTTGGTTGAACAATTCCCTGAAAAAATATTATTTATAAAATTATTTTTTAATTTATTCCAAATCATAAAATTAAATTACTTGAATAATGAAATGTAATGTAATTTTTTTTCACACGCGAAACAGATAAGAATGTCGAAGAAATAAGCTATATATATTCAGTTTGACATAAGACGCAGAAGCTAAAACTTTTATAATCAGTAAGTTCCTTGGACATTATTCATTTCATCTTTATGCCCCCCCCCCGCCCCTCCTTCCGATTGATGCTACGTGCTAGTGGCATACGAACGTGTTTTTCGGCCGAGACCAATTGACTTGTTTGTGCGAGAAAAGAAGCTGCTTGATTATTAGAGCGGCGTATCGGTTAGTACGGAGAGATAATTATTGCAATTGGACGAGATGGACTAATACCTGACTGTGGTCTAATCGTCGCGTGACTTAGCTACTGTACCTGATTCTCTGGCTCTTTGCACAAGGAGAGCACGAGACTCGGAGCTAAGAGGTCCTTTGACTTTTTCATTTATCCGTCTCTCTCTCTCTCTCTCACACACACACACACACACTCACTATCTCTATCTCTATCTCTATCTCTATATCTATATCTATCTATCTCCCCGTCGCTCTCATCCTCTCTCTATCTCTATATCTATCTATCTCCCCGTCGCTCTCATCCTCTCTCTATCTCTATATCTATCTATCTCCCCGTCGCTCTCATCCTCTCCCTCTCTCTCTCTCTCTCTCATTCGCATGCACGCATGCGCGCACATGCACACCCATATACTTCTTTCTCATTTCTTCGATCTTGACTCACGTTTATATGATCCGAATTTAAACAATTTATAGCTATAAGATATATCATTAATTCTTTCGTGTAAATTATCTTTCGATGATAATTTCTTTTTTATTATCATTTAGCTAATTCACTGATTCCTAATTAAAAGG